AGGCAGCCACAGCTTCTCTGGGCAACCTGTGCCAGTGTCTCACCACACTCACAGTAAAGAATTTCTCCCTTATATCTATTCTAAATCTGTCATTACCCCTCATCCTATCCCTACACTCCCTGATAAAGAGTCCCTCCCCACCTTTCCTGTAAATTACTGGGAGGCCACTATAAGGTGTCCCTGGAGCCTTCTCTTCCCCAGGCTGAACAATCCCAATTCTCTCAGCCTGTCCTCATGAAGGAGGTGCTGCAGTCCCCTGAGCATCTTCATGGACCTCCTCTGGACCGGATCAAGTAGGTCTATGTCCTTTTTAATATTGGGGGCCCCAGATCTGAACACAGTACTCCAGGTGGGATCTCATGAGAGCAGAGTAGAGGGGGAGAATCCCCTCCCTTGACCTGCTGGCCTGCTCTTGATGCAGCCCAGGACACAGTTGGCTTTCTGGGCTGCGAGTGCACATTGCTGGTTCATAGTCAGTTTTCCATCCACTACTACTCCCAAGTTCTTTTCTGCAGGGCTGCTCCAAACCGACTCCTCCCCCAGCCTGTATCTGTGCTTGGGATTGCCCCGACCCGTTGCAGGACCTTGCACTTGACCTTGTTGAACTTCATGAGGTTTGCATGGGCCCACCTCTCCAGCCTGTCCACGTTCCTCTGGATGCATCCCTGCCCTCCAGAGTGTTGACTGCACCACACAGCTCGGTGTCATTGACAAATTCGCTGAGGGTGCACTCAGTCCCTCCGTCCATGTTGCCAACAAAGATGTTAAACATCACTGGTCCCAACACTGACCCGTGAGGAATGCCACTCATCACCGCTGTCCACTTGGACATCCAGCCATTGACCACAACTCTGATTGTGACCATACAGCCAATTCCTTATTCACCATTCATCAGTGGTCCATTCATCAAATCCATGTTTCTCCAATTTAGAGACATGTCGTGCTGGACATCGTCAAATGCTTTGCACAAGTCCAGGAAGATGATGTCAGTTGCTCGCACATTCCCACGTGCACTTTCTCCATGTGCAGTGAGATGCATAGATTCCACGTGCAGAGGATACCCACAGTTTGATTAGGTGATACACATATGTCTGGTTACATGACAGAAAAAGTGCTCACTGTATACAGCCTACAAATGCTTCTTGTGAAGAAGCCAAGAGATCAATATTTTTTAACATACTGCTTCATGATAAGCCAGACAACTATAAAGGCAGCGAAACCCAATAGATAAGGCCTGAACTAGAATTTGGAAAAATCCTGGAGGTATCCTTTGGGTGACCTTGAAAAAAAGATTTTGCGGCTTCATTTTGCTTCTTGTACTACTTCTCACTTTCCATTATTGGAGATCACTGTACAATAGAACTTCAGCTTCAAACAAGCCATTGATGTAGTACAAACAGATAACAATAATAATCATCCAAGTAATAATAACCTCTCTTTCCGCCCCCCCCCCCCTCTTTCTTTACCTTCTCCTCCTCTCCAGACATACTTTAGACAAAAATAAACTGTGAAGAGGTCTTGAAATGTGTTGATTGGCTGTTAATATCTCATAGTGGTTTTAATTACTGTGTCTTCCATGCCCTGCATTTTGTTATATTTTCCTTCTCTGGTGAAGTAACGTGACATGAATTTCAGTAGGAGTGCAATAGTCCCACATAATCTCCATCAACATTGTTCCTTGATTCTAACACATCGTTTCTGCACTAGCAGTGCTTACTTTTATATGCAACCCAGTCTCCAAAGTATGTTCCTACTTGTAAAAAGTCTTTCAAAAGGAGAAAAGCCATTTGAGGCTAAAAGCGCTGTTGAAAACAGGAGACTGGCCTCAACTTCTGTGCTGCTGTGAAATTTCTTGGCTTAGTTTGTTAAAAAGTGTATAAAATAGCAAGAAACCAGGAACTTAAAAGAAAATATCTTTTGTCTAGGGTCAAAAATCATCATTCTTCTTTGACTTTTGTCTATTAACAGGCAGGACTATCACTTTTCGGTGGCGTTTTTTGACTTCTCTCTGGATATATTCCTCTCTCCTGCCTTCAAAGTTATATGTGGGCAGATATTTTGGCTGCGACTGCCTGTATCCATGTTGTTTTCAACCTCATCAGGGGCTGGATCCTGGAATCCATTCCTAACCAAAGAGCCAAATGAAGGTCTGGGCTTAACCGCTGTGGTGCTAACAGGAGAACACCGCACACAGCTGACCAGGGGACCAGGGTTTGTAAAAACCCAGTAAGGACCCACAGGGCTGTGAGGTGGTGGGTATGGGGCAGTTGAGAGCTGGACAGAAGATCACAGAGGTACTTTGCAGGTGGTAGAAAGCCTGGGGAGCTGAAGCTGTTGGAGGTGAGGTCCAGTTTAGGAGAAGCTCTGGGGGAAGGAGAAAATGCAGAGGGTTGGGGGTCAGAGGAAATGGAGGTCTCAGAAAATACCAGGACCCAGAGTGGTGGGTGAGGGAGGTCAGCTGAGATGTGAGGTGGGGTGGGTGTCCATGCTGAATGGGTGCCAGCCAGGTCAAGGAGAAGATGTCTCTGAGGAGAGGGGCAAGAAATTTTGAAGGGATGAGCAAGCCAGGGAACTCAGGCTGGCAACACAGGTCACAAAGGGGTCTGGGCAACCAAGGTGCCAGTGTGAACTCTTCTAACCAGCACCTGGAGTGGGAAACGTGCACAAGACAGCGCCTACACCAGTCTGCACAGCTCACGCTCATGCTCCCCATCTCAGCTGCTCCATCACTTTTGTTTTATGGAGCAATATAGGCCTTTTACAGGCAAATAAAAAATTAGGAAAGGGCAAGGTCCATTTAGTTTTTCTACAGTAGTTTGATATGTTGAATACCCTGCTATGCAGAGTATATGCACTGCCACTGAAGTCATTTTGTTGGCTGGCAGCCTCCAGGTAAAGGTACTTGTTTGTATGTATGAAAATGGAGCTTCTGACCTAAAACCTTTAACAATGCTTGTAGGCATACGGAGCCAATTCAGATTTCCGTTTCTGTGAGATAATCCCCTGGCAGTAATGACTAAGGTCTGTAATTTATTCAGCAAAATGTCCCAACTCCTTCTTGCTTTGTGACGTCTTCTTGCTGGGGCTTCAGGGCTTTGGGATTTTAAATTCTTTTTTTAGATTTGATAATCCTATTTAACCCTTCTGCAAATGGGACACCAGGGAGAGCTTTTCAGTTACACACAATTAGTTTTATAAGCAGCATTATTAAACCATCCATTAGCTGTTGGGTTTTTTTTTATATATAAAAAAAAAACCCAAACCTCCTATATTAATAGCAATAGAGGCTTTTATATGAAGAATAGAGGGTTTCATTGTATGAAATGGTTTCAGACTCTAATAATAACATTTCCTACTTGTGAGTAGAATTAAGCTTTCTTGTCTGAGATTTTGTTTAAAATCTGCCACTCCTTTCCCCCTCTCATCCTTTACCCCCTTCTGGGTTTTCTCTTAGATGCATGAAATGGGGCTATGTTGGATCCTGAGAAGGAAGAAAGGTCATGGGACAGGGCCAGCTATGAGGAGTCTGGCTAGGTTGCCATTTCCCTGCCTAAAGTGTAGGATCTTGCTCCCCCATCAGCGACCCCCTTTCCAGAGGCAGCTGGTCACAGCTCAGTCCAAAACCAGCTGCTCTTGGCACTTGAGGCCACAAACCAGGAGAAGGGCCATGGTTGTTGCTGAATAAATTGACGAGCTATCACCCTGGCTGGGGAAGAAGGGAGGCGGGGTGCTAGAAAGGAGCCTACTGGGATGTGTGAGGACTGTGCAAGTCTCATGTTTATAAAAGCACTGGGAAAGTCAGGGTGAAAGCAGGCGCCTGCTCCAGGGGAGAGTGTGAGAAACAGAGCAAACACGGGATAGTATATCTCCCTGCTGCATTTTCAGTATCCAACTCTGTGTCATGCAAAGCTGGTGGCTGTACACAAACCACCACATCCACAAGGCACTTTTCCATAAATTTGACTAATTGCTTTTTGCACGCATTTATGCTTTTTTCCTCAACCATATCCCATAACAACGCATGCCCCAATTCCTCACTGTGTGAAAAGGTACTTTCACTTATTTTTAAACACATTGCCTGATAACTTCATTGTTATGAGACATACTGAGCAGTCATTGCTTATTCACTTCCTCCCTGTCACTCCTGATTCCCTTTGTTCTCAGGGTATTGTATTTGACAAGGCTGTATTTTAGGTCTTGTTCTGAATTTACCACAAACGTAATGTTTAAAGCTCTGAAGTTGTGGAGCAGTGCTGAATGCACTTGTCTTTGCTCTCCTGGGACTATTGTGCTGCCATCCCTATTCCTGGCAGGCCAGTTCATTTACATTTTAAAACCTGGGATTTAGAATGGATATGTAAATTGACCTTCCAGTATAGTAACTCCTGCTACTTAGTCTTAAATTAAAATCCTAATCATAAATATAGGATTTAGGATATAGGCTGTATTCCTGGACAATTTGTACTGAAAAGGTCATAAGTAAAAATTTTATTTGAGAAAACTGAAATAAATGTTCAATTAAAACCAATCAACAATATTATTTATTTCTACTGAAGGTTCAGAAGCTTGTGTTAGTTTTGACTGACATTTTCAAACAAAGATTCACCTTTTCAAACTTACTTTCATGATTCTCCAACAAAAAAGAATATTCAAGAGCATATTCTTGTGAGGAGGCCTGGCTTCCACAGGCAGCCCTCTTCTCAAGAGTGAGTTAATTCTGTTTCTGGAAGCAATATAAGCAAATTACTTCTGCTTATGAACATGTTAAAAGGAGTGTACATTCATCTTTCTAACACACAGAATTTTTAAATGAAGAAAAATGTGCATAAAGGCATTGCTCATTTCCCTGGTATTAACAGAACCACAATCTTTCACCCTGTGGCCATTTTCCTCTTCTCTTTTTGTCTAATAAAAGCAAAATAAAATCCACGTAAGATTCCAGTGGAAAAAATAATTTTCCTTTGTTTATTTTGTTTAAAAATATATATATTGTCAGTTAAAAAAAAAATAATATATATATACACAGTGGCAACAAATATAAAATGGCACTTTCTGTACTAAGAATAATCATAGGTTATTTGAATAACTGTATCTCATACTGTCTGTAGACATTTATTGGCAGCAGAACTATGAAGAACAATGGTTATCACCCACACTGGACTAATATTTTCTTTACATATCTACTATTGTTCTACGACCTCTCCAGAGAATTTAATAGACTTGTCAATGTCTTACACTAATGTACAGAATACCATTTGCTACATTCTCTTCCAGGGGGTATGGCAGGGGGGCAAAATCCAACCCCTTTACTCTCCATTTTATGATCTTTTCACAGGCAATTTTCATAGCTATGACACAAACAGAACAAACCAGCAAAGCTTTATATTCCTATTTGGTTCAGCTGTCTATAGCTGAACAAGCTATGAGCTGATGAAAAAGCACGATCACTGGGTTTAGCTGGGAATATGGTATTTCCATCCATAGTTCTAAACAATAACCTTTATTATTTAGTAGGTCATTGTCAGCTGAGTCACTGAGTCCAGAAGTACTTTAGGAATAAGTCTTTAGAGTCAACTCAGCACAACAACATAGAGTTGCTCCTTTGGAGCTGCTTGGTGTTTGCTTTTCATACAGCTTATGTTTACGGGAAGAATTTGTGAAAATCAGTCATTTTCACATAAAAAAAAAAAAAAAGACTTAAGAGACACTTGCTCACTTCTCCCCATTTTTCTGACACCTCCTCTCGTTTTCTTTCCTGAATGATTCCACAAAGAATGCCCCTCAACCTGCAGCTTGGTTTTGGCAGAGACTGCTTGGCAGAGACTGGCTTGGGGAGTAGCCTTATATTTTAAAAGAAGCTTCCTTTTCCTTCCATAAACCTCTGCTTTCCAAAAATATCAAGTGAAACTTAAGGAACTGAATCCTTCCCCACACCCAACTGGAGCACTGAAACTTATGTGGGGGAATAATGTGCCCTTTCCGTCCTGTCTTGACTGTGATTAATTCAGAAACATGTCACTGCACTGTGCCAGTAAATGGCATGGAGCTGAGATGCCACTGCACTGTAACAACAGGAATGGCTTTCAACTTCATTGAAAAAACAGCATTTCTAGCATGAGTGACAGCTAGATCTTCCTTGCTGCAACCCCCTGTGGAAGGTGTTTGCCCCATTCAGCTGCAGCCACACCCCAGGGGACCATTCTTCCAGCTTTTGTGGGTAGGTGGAATCATAAAGCAATCGGTGCACTCACAAGTTCTTCATTTGCTCATTTGCTTAAGAAATGTACCTATCCAGAGGTTAAAAGGATGATGAAAGGGTGTTTTGTTTTGTTTTGTTTTTTTTTTTTTTTCTGCCTACACATACAAAGGGGAAAGGAACTGGCTGACACAGCTCTTTTCCCCAAGCTACACAATGAAATTGGGAAACCTGGAAACAGAGGGTCATTTAAGGCAAGGACCACGGGCTAGTATTTTTCCTTGTTTCCTCCCAAGGAGTTGTTAATCTCATCTCTCTTCAAAGAAACCCAAGAAGGTATGTGTGCAGGCTCATGGGAAAGCTGTTCTCTCCTGACAGGGTGGGAGGAAAGGAGAAAAGGTCAAGAACAGAGTGTTTACCAAAGCCATGTGCTCTTAGCTGTGTGTTGCCTCTGAGTGCAGCTGCTTCCACTCTCAGCTGGCATTTTGTGGTTTTGAATACTAGAGCACTAAATAAAATATGGGGTTTTAATACCTTTCTTTTTTAATATAGCCGGTGTGGGCTGCTAAAGTAAACAAAATATTGCATGAGTGCACATTTCATTCATATGAGCAGAAGCTTAAAGCAAAAATGGGGAGGGCAATTAGCAACCGAAGAACACAGTCGAAGACCCTGGAGTGCAGCACAACTACAGACAAATATAAACTCCCTTTTAAAGAAATATACTTAGAGGACCAGTTGCATAATTGTGCAAACTGAGGAGAACACTGACTCACTAAGTCAATATTTGCTAAATCTGTTGGGCCAAATTCAACTCTCATTCAAGACAGAAACAACTTTTCTGTTGTTTCACAGCAATGAAAGGGCCTGGCCACGAGAATAGCAGGCAGCTGCCTCTGCTTCCTGAGCACTTCTCTTCCCAAGTTCCTGACCACTGACCGTCTGCTCAGGACAGATTGTCCTTCGGCCTTGAAGACTTTGGGCAGCTTGTCTTTCATATCTGGCAGAATCATACAATTAGGAATGAGTGCTTCTGGTAGCCTTTCCCCCTCTTTTGACTAGTGGTAATAACAGGAAAATACAGGACTGAACTAAGAAATTATTTTCTTTTTCAGTAGGACATGTAATAAACACACACTTACTAAAGGTAAGAAATTAAGATGTGCAAAGAAACGATGGAAGCAGAGACCTGTTTTCCAAAGCAGAAATAAACTGAATTGCTTAGCTGTTGCAGCCAGGTTAACAAAAGAAAAAAAAAAAAAAAGTCTAAAAAAACCCCTGTGGCTTAACAGGGCTGTTAGTAAGGGATCATGGCCTGCTGGGATGCATGAAGGTTAGCTGGTGAGAGAACGTGGTGAAGTTGAAATTTTTCTCTGTGATCTCTTCTGGTATTTCAGCTATTAGGGAGCAAAAAAAGTATTTCCCTGCAGTTTTAAGTAGGGAGTTGGTGTGTGACCTGTTGTACCACCGCAAAATGCTGTTCAAGTTTCACAGTCTCTGCTATGAGCAGGGTCTGAAGTGAAAGAAGCAGCAGCAGTGTGAGAAACCTACCAAAAAAAATTTCCTTGGGCGTATGCAGTGGTACATTGTAAGTATTATTTTAATGAATTTATTTTAATTTAATATCTATTTTAATGGTTATAATTTTAATATTAGAATCTTTTATTTTGCCTTTATATAAGCATATTTTAAAAGGAACTATTACGTACCTTTTCCTTACCCAGCAGCACAAAAGAGAAAGACAACAGATACTTTCTCCCTTTTTGGGTGTTTCACTACCTGAAAGAAGGAAGGAACAGCTGGTCTCTGTGCTGAAGTACAGATAACAAGAGAATGTTATTTTATATTTTCACTGCAGCTCTTTTTAAAACTGTATGGGGAAAGACACAAAATAGGTGCTGGCACCTGAAACAACAGGGAGCTCTGATAATCAGACTCCTTTTTCTCCATCTTTCCTTGATCTGCTGAAACAATTACTGTTCTGTGGGCTGAATTCCTCATTCTGTTGCAAATCAGGAGCAAGTCCACTGAAGCCAGATAACTTGCACACACGCTAATTCAGTCATGCCCTGATGCTAAAGGGCCTTTTGGTGAGTGAGCTTTCCTATTCCTGGAGCGAGTGGGCGCTCTTTCCTCAACCTCCTTCCTGAGCTATGCCTGCTCTGGGAAAGCTTAATGACAGTAAAAAACAAAGCAGGTTAAAGGAAAGGGGAGGCACAGAAAAATGTTTAAATGTACTGTTTAGGTATAGAATCACAAAACCTCCCTTCTTAGTAGAGATCAGCAAAGTCAACAGTGGAAACACAAGTTCTGGACAGAAATGGTACTCCTTTGCGGTACTCCTGAAAGAATTTGGCTTTGTCTTGTCAACTGCAAGTGGTGGCAGAACACCAATTTTCACTTCAACTGATTGTTATGAGTATTTGCTGATGTTTCTGAATGAATGTTGATCAGTGGTGCTCAAAATGGCGTTAACCTTTTAATCTACCACTTAACTATGTATAATATATACTATATATTTATATATATAGAATATATTTAACATCATCTCTTTAAAAAATGAGTTAGCCTGTAGCTATTATTCAGCTTGTATTCTCTATATTTATAATGAGCTACTCAGTAATTGAAAGATTTTTATTGATAGCATCTAAGCAGAGTTATTTTTAGAACATCTGACTAATAATATTTAATTGCTTCATAAATAAATGAATCTAAAAAGCACGCCACTGTTAACTTTTCTTGAGAAAATAATAGCCATCACTCATATTCTTCATACAGTAAGAAAGAAGAAAATGATCAACAGAAGCAAGTATGAACTGTCTACAGCCCTTGTACGTACAAAGCTACTCTTCTCTATTTACTTATTTAATAACAGCAGAGTAGGAATGGAAGGATGGACAGTGTACACCAAGAAGGCTTCCCAAATTTTCCTAAATTTCCACTCAACAGAACCTAGACAAATTTGCTGGAATCTAAAAAGAAAAAACAAACAAACAAACAAACAAAAAACAAACAAAAACAAAACAAAACAAAACAAAAAAAAAACCACACACACAAACCCTGTTGAGTCGCATCAACGAACCAATCAAAACCAATTGCCTTTGACCATTAAATTGCCTGACTCTCTTCCAGTCTTCAAAAAAGATACCAGAAGCTCTTTTGGAATAGCTGAGCAGCACACACCTATTTTTCCGGGTGCAAGTAACTGTTTAATTCCTGTTTTGTGATAAAATTAGATTAATTCTGTCCCATTTGAGGATGAAAGAATCCTAAAATTTTTTTTCTAGGCTAGCCTGAACCCATTGACTTCAGAGTTGAGTGTTTTGGGCACAAATTAAAATAATGTATTAAATATTTAGATTTTAATACCTCACTGAAAATAATGTAAACCTAGGCTCCACAGGCTGAACTCATCCATGCATAGGTCTGTTCTCCACCTAGAAGTCAGTGCAATCAGAAATAGCTCCTTTTAGAAACTACCTTGTAGAACTCAAGTAATTTTTGTTGACCTCACGAGTTTAATCCCCAACTCTTTTTATTTGCTCAGTAGCCGTGAGCAAGCTCTGGCAATCTGTAGCTGAGAACCATGGAGCTAGACCCAACATCAATGCAGGTAAAACAAACTGCATTCTGTCCTGCTCTGCAAGCATCACTGAAACACAAATATCAGCAGTACAGTTTCCCAAGAGATTTTTCCAAAAACGTATCTTGGTAGTCTATTCTTCTTCCTCCGTTTTGGAGAAAGCACTTGCCCTTAACACCTCCATGCAGTTCACAAGAATCAACACTCCAGTTAACTCTCGCCAATGTTTTGTTACTGGGTTTTTCATTTTATCCAAGGCTGACTGCAGGTCTTGTAAGACATCCCTGTAACTGTCTCCATAATGGGCAGCCCAGGTGTAGAGAAAGTCATATGCAGGTTTCCACATCATCTGAAAATAAAGGGAAAAAAATAAAAAGGTTTGGTTGCAGAAATTGAATTATTGAGCAAAAATAGCTAAATCTTTCCAATGGTAAAAAAGTCATCAAAAAGAAAAAAAAAAAAAAAAAAGTGTTTGATCCTTAGCCATGCTGAAATGTTTTATCATAAAAGGCATGTTGATAGAAAAACTCCAGTAACCCTATGTACTTTATTTCTATGAAACTCTAACATTCTTAGAGGGGTAAATAGTGGACAGATAAATTTTTCATTTAGATAATTATCAAGAAGCCGAAATGCATCCCTAACTGAAAGTATAATTCAAAGAACAAGGGTGGAAGGAAAACACTTATTCTTTTCGTCATTTTTGTAATGCATACACCCAGCAGCAGTTTCTCTATTTAGAGTTTGGCTGTGCTTTTGTATTTTAATGACTCCCTTTGTCTCATTAATACACATCATACTGTCCCTCTACATAGCCTGGAACTTTTAAACATGTTTCTTATCTTTACAAAAATATTTTCTGGCAACAGCAACAGGAAGATGACCTATCTATAAAATCGCTGTTCAAAAAAAGAAAAAAAAAACCCAACACTCCAAAAGCAGGAGAGTCAAAATCTTTTATAATTAAATTTTTTAAATCAGGACATGCAGCTTAAAAAGTGTCCTGCAAAAATTAAAGAAAATTAAAAGAGATATTACCAGTGCTCCCCTATTTCAAACTACAATATGTTTATTTTATGCCAAGTATGGAGCACATCCTTAGCACGTGTAATTTGCTATTGGTCTAGTGACACTAATTAAGCCATGACAGCATGATTCAGATACCAAGCTGGATTTACATATTTCAAAGTGCTGACGTCTAGAGTAAGTTTGCTCAGTTTACAAACATAAAGATTGTTTTCCCAGCTGTTGCTTTTCCAAATTTAGCTTGGGCTATCCGCTTCCTAGTTCCCCATTCTTCATTGGCAATAAAGGTTTTGCAAACAGCAACTGAGTTAGCAATTGCAGGGATGATACACAAAGCCCCAGAGAAACCCATCACTTTCCTAAAAGGTACTGGCATTTGCTGTTTTAACAAAAATACACTTATGAATAGAAATAAAAGCACATGGACCGACGTGTGCATATTTACACAAATACACCAAAGTGATCAGGAAGGCCTGATTTTTTTCACAACTTTATCTTTTTTAGTGGAAAAGCTGTTTTCATGGCTCTGAAGGATAATTCAGGAGGAAATTGGTTATTTCCTCAGTATAATCCTATTAATTTACAAATAACACAAAACAGAAAGCTCTAATTCCTTGATTTAAGCTTTATTTACTTGATCCATTGAGGATCTGAGTAGCAGGATGATTTCCTTCTTCATAGTTCTGAGCTTTTCTCCACATTTGGGCTAAGAACTCTCAACTTACCCCAAGATTTATTCTATCATAGTTTCTGTAAACATCTCCCTCAAATTATTTTGCCTTTCTTCCCCATCCCCAAATGGAAAAACCCACCAAGCTCATATCCCCAGTAGCATCTCACAGTCTGATTAGTCTGGCTTCTGCCTTCGGTTTAAGCCATAAAAAAGTGCCTATGCTTTCAGTGAGGTGTCTCATTTTAGGTCTACAGGAGGGAAGCATATCATCATTTACCAAAAATTAATGGTACCTACTTCTTGCTTTAAGCAAGTCAGTCTTAAGTCATAGCATTAAGGTTACAAAAGGAGGGAAGAAAAGTAACTTGGTGGCTGGTGGGAAGAAGACAAGTGATGAATTCTTTCTTTTCATTAGACAGGCTATGCTGAAAAATAAGTTTTTAATGTACTACTGTAAATAGTAGATATTACAACATATTTTAATGATCTAAAGTAGTTGGCCACTGTTGTATTTATGCTGATACCAGAAAGTTTCTCTATTCCTATTTTTAGATTGATAACCAAAGTAGCTAGCAAGAGAAGCTGGGATTTCCTAATATTCTGCTCTGGCTGTGCCTTTTATGTTTCCTGCTATCTTTCCTTATATTCCTGTTAGACCAGGCTATTTGAAGAATTGGGGTACATCCTTCTGTCTTCACTGGAATGTGAAAGGACAGTGAGTATGAAAAGATGTAATGCTTTGACTTATGCTGAAGGTCAGTCTGACACTGTGCAATCAGAGAATTGGCTGAAATATGCCTAAAATATAAACCCTGTTTTTCTCTACTCTGTCACAACTGATTTTTTTCCCTGGGACAAAAGAAAAGAAAACAAAATGGGGGAGGGAGAACCAAAAGCTTTATAAACTGGTCATCAGTGATTCATGATTAACTCAGGAATAATCTACATGCTTACCACACTAAACTAACACTGCAAACCAGGCTTCTAAGGAAGGTCCTTCTCTGCTTCCACATATTCTGCTGCAATGGATGAACTGAATTGCATTTGACATTCCTGAATTATATCAAAGCAGATTTTCAGGCAAAATATTAAATCACTGTAGCATCCTGGGCAAATCTCATCTCAGCTGTGTGCACAAGTTTTCCCTCTGCTCCCACTGCCTCTGCTGAGTAGGTAATAATGATACCTACATCCTCTGTAAAATGATTTGGAATTTACTGATGAAAAGCACTTCAAAATCTGGCACCAATTGTATGTACCTCAGGTTGCCTCTGTGATTATCTGGGAGAAGATTTCTCCCACTAAGAAAAATATTAAGTTTAAAAGCAGAAACATTTTTCAACCAATCAGTCCTCTTGATGGTAGAACAGTCCTTGGTGGGTAACAAATTGGTTAATGTTTTCAGATAATCCCCAATAATTACTCAAAACTTATTACTCCCCTATCTTTGATTGGTTTCCTGTTTTCACACTAACCACTACCAATGAGAAAGTTTTTCCATCAGAAAACTCCAGGCTGGGATAAGGTGGTTTTAATCAGGGTGATGATCAGCAATCATTCTGAAATTAGTCAGACTAATGCTAACCTTGTAGCATCTCCACACAGGTAGGAATTTACACTGCATTAGCTACATTTGTTTTGTATCCCTGCTGAACAACAGCCACAAAACTATTTATAAACAGAATTTTGCTTTCTGTATGTAGAGGTTCAATTCACCAGAGCAGTGAGAAGTTCAGAGGTCAGAAGAAAGAACTGAAATTTGGTAGAAAGTGTTGAAAATTAAGATTATATTCACAGGACAGGGAGGATGCTGAGTATTCACGTGAGATACCAGTGCAAGAAACCTGGTGTGCATTGAATTCACACCTGTGTTGACAAGCACTGTTGCAAGGCTCACATGAAACCAATAAATTCCCCATGGGCCCATCCTAAGCCTTAAGAAACAACATAAAAATAAAGCAAAATTCTGATCTTTACTTGTTGAATGTTCTCTTAAAAAATAGAACACGCTCTATTATTGGCTTTTTTTATGATGATTTTGACTGTACTGTCTTCTGGCAGCAGACACTGTCACTGAAAGGCAGATAATCTTGTAGGTGGTTTATCATAAAAATAATGTAAAAAACTCTGGAAAATAAAAGAATAGGGTATATGAGACAGAATATGCATTTCATGGAAATAGACACCCATATAAAACACAGTAATACATATATATGTATATTTTAGTATAAAAATAAATAGGTATGGTGCAGGAAAAAGACTTTAAGATTGTTTTGGTTCTTCTGTCTGTTAGCTAAGGAGAAAACATTTAAAATACTATGGAGACCAGTAGAGTTGCACATTGTTCAGGTATAGTTAGGTCTATAATTCCTTCTGTAGAAAGCTGGGGTTTTGTCAGACAACCACAGAAAGCTTAGTAAGTAAAACAAAAGTCTAGGAAGTTAGACAAGGCACTACATAACATTAAAAAAACAAAACAAAACAAAACAAAACAACACAGATATTACAAGCATTCACATTCTGTTTGATTATAGTATTTTAGAGTAAACTAGTGCAAAACCAGAGCCAATAACAGGGTGATTTTTCACTGAAAAGAGAGTAGTATACCAGGAATTGGTAGAGCTGAGAGTTTTATGAGAAAAACATTTAAGGAGGAAGGTGCATCCAGGCACAAGTAATATATCCAGAACAACTCAAAAAAAACCCCAAACCACAAAATAGCTCAAGGAGAAAAGCAAGGTCAGAGGAAGAAGGAATGTTTGCAAACATCCATGACAGAGATAATTTTGCAAGAAAGTGCAGAACCTTGTAAGTGAATGTATGGAGTTTTGGTCGAATATTGATCAGGGCAGTGGGGAAGGGGGTAGCATTCAAAGGGAATAAGAGGTGGTAGTTCACAATTAGAGCAAATATCTCTTGATAGCTATCACTAGGCAGATAAAACTGAGGTGAGAGACTCACTGGATGCAGACTGTGGAATGGAGGATGTGTTTGGCAGGGGACAGGAAGAATCAGCTACAGGGAAAGAAAAAGGAAGAAAAAAATTATCTTGAGTAGTTGTGAACTTCTGAATGGGAAATAGAAATTCCTTTGGTACTGAGAGGTGGGAGAGGAGGAATTGAAGCTGGATCATGTGTATTACCTGCAATAATCAGTGGGACCAATAATACAGGCAGAGGTAGAGTCGAGCCCGAATGTAAGTGCTAAGGCAGAAAGATCTTGGGTATCACTCAGCAACACTTATAAAAGAGGATTCTCAGGATAAAATCCAGTCTTGGACCTAGAAGTCATTGGCACATAACTCTGTGGGAAACAGTGTATCTACTGTATGCTTTGCTGTTAAAGTAAGAGCAGAGAGATGTAGGAAGCAACTCGGCTGCCCAGGCAAAGGTGTGCCAGGAGCACAGGCTGGCCCTCAGCTCAGAGACATGGATGAGGGACCACCCTAAATCTTGTGACCGATCTGACATTGCGTGCATGCCAGGGGTGCCTCTGGGCACCTCAAATGGCACTAGAGATATAATTAGGTACCTAAATTGCTCCTTAGATGTGTACACACTAAAATACTTGTGAGGGGACAACTTGACTTTTATTTAGGACTCATACTTCTGCATAAGCACAGAGATTTACAAAGGAGGACAAATAGCATGACAGCCTATGAAATTAAAACGTGGATTTGCCAGGTACATACACAAGGACAGAGGTGGAATTGGTGTCAGAGCCTCCAACCTCTTGTCATGCCACTTAAGATAAGTGATGACAAATTTGACACAGGGGCAGAAGACAAAAATATTGGTGGAGGTAAGCTTCTTTTCAGTGGAAAGAGCAAAAGCTGTACTGAGGGTGATTTGAAGTGGCTCCTGCAAGGACTGAATGATCAATTTTCCTCCCTGCATCTGAAATGATAGCAGTTATGAAGGAGATGGGCAGAGGTATGAGAAAGATTAACCAGTGGACAGGACAAGAAGAAGGTACTGTTGGCTCTTGGAATGAGAGTAAAGAGATGAAACTCAGGACAGAGACCAGGACCTCCACAGCAAATAAATTTGGCACAATGACACTGAACAACTGGACTCGGAGGAACATCTAGATAATTGCAAACAGAAGTTGGTGAGAATTTGAAGGGCTTACAAAGTAAATAAGGAGACTAAACAGGAAAAGGAAAGAAGCACACAAAGCAAGGAAAAAGAAAGGTCTCTGGATGTGTTTGTCCAGAGGAGCGAGTGTGTACACACTGTTATACCAGAGCCTTACCTCCAGAGCTACTGCTCCATTTTTCCCTTGGTGAGGTACTTCATAAGCCTCGATTTGTTGCTTTGTAAGTCGGGCTAGCTTCTCTGCAAGCTCTCGCCAGTATTTGCCAAGCTTGACAGCTGAAGTCAAAATGATGGTGTCCTGGGTAAGTCGTGCCACTAAACCCTGGCAATCTATTTTCAAAAGTGCCTGCAACAATAATTTTCATTAGTATTTCTTCACCAGTAATTACAAAAGGAACATTTTTTGTTATAATAGCACTATTCTGTATTCCTAAGCAGACAGGAAGGCTTTTTGTCTATTTTGTGTTCTTACAAATATGTAACCTTTTTTCCTACAAAAAGGTGTTGCCAACAGTTTCATAGGAAAACTGCCCACAAGCTTAAGAAAAAATTAAGCTGGCATTCAGCTGCTTCAGCATTCCAGAGTCAAATGGATCCTGCCAAACTTACAGATCCTGGAGGAAAAATATACTTCTCCAACAAAAATATTTGGGACATCAAATTTAGCTTCTTGAAAGTATGACATGAAACTTAAAAATGAAGTTAGAGCATTATTATACTTAGGTGTGGTCATTTGTCTACTGCTTTTCTGGAAAATCATTAATTATATTGGCCAGCACCTTTTGATTTACTTCTCCCACAGTACTGATGATTTGCTGACCATTAAGCAGAAATGCAGGCATAAATCTGTTCCCTTCCCCATGTCAAATGAGCTTTTAATAACAAGTTAAAATGGTTCCAGAAGTGGAACCGTGAAATGCAGGTGTGTTGCATTCTCCATTTTTCATTTGTTTGCATAAGAGCTATTGAGAAAAATACATGTTGTTTTTTTGTTCTCCTCAAATTAACAGGAAAATGTTTCACTAAAAATGTTGACTTTTTCAGTGAAAAGTCAGGAACAAAATCCAGACATTTTCCTTGATTTTTAGATACTGATTTTTAATAAAATATCAAGTATTTCTGCTTTTGAAGATTTAATTGTAAAACATTTTTCCATAAAAATCCTCACTGCAAACAGTAGAACTTTTGGTAGGCACAGTAGTGAGAAGCAGACTATAGTGTACAGTACTGTATCTTCCTAGACTTTGGCAAAGTTGTTCAGTTTGTCTTTGCTCTCATAATCAAGAACTCTATTGACATAAAAATAGGAGATTAATTAAAAGAAATAACTAGTAAATTTGACCCAAAAGTGACATGGATGATATCTAGCTTTAAGACTAGCTATAGAAAGACAGGGGCCTGCATTGGCACATCACAGCTCAAAATCATGTGCTTCTCAACAAAACAGGACGTCTTATTAACCTAACTATGCCCCGCCTTTTGCCTGTTCTGTAATGAACTCTGTTTCACTGTATTCAATTAAAAGTTTGGATCCTTTTCACTTTAATTCCCCCTCCCGTTTTTGTACAGAGACATGGCAGACTAAACTGTACTTCATACTTGCTCAGTTTTTTTCCACATGGTTTAATGCAGACTTGAGAGTTGGAAGTGGCCACTGCTACCAAAAATTTCTGAATCCTGCTGAAATTGCTGTCAGAACTTCAACGGGGATAGACTAGTTATGAGAAGTAAGTCCTGTTAAGTTTTACAATTCAGGATAGTCAAAAGACTTTAGATGAAAGGCTACAATGTGAATTTTTAAACACCCATTTTTATGATACTTTATTTTCATATCAGAAATTTAATTCTCTTCTGTCCCTAAATAGGCTGGTTGACTTTTCAATCAAAGCCACAGGCAGTATTGAGTAATTGCTAGTAACAGTACTGAATCATATGGAAGTTTTTCCAGTGGCTTACAAATGAGGACCATGAAATTATGTACTGAAATACTTGCAATATTGTCCTTAGGTCACTACGACATTGTCTGTGAAGTTATCATGTGTGGATAGAAAGTCTCGTCTTCAACAAGTGGGTCAGGATTTCCTTACTTTAAACATATGAAGCTAACTTAGACATGTACCTTAGGGTACACATATATAAATAATGGAGTATCCACGTTATAAGTTCATTAAATACTTCACAATGTGAATGTGAATACAATTTACCATGATGGCTTTTATGACAAAAGACAAAATTATTTCAATCATGGCCATTTAAAAACATTTAAAAAGTCAACTCAGTCAACCTACTAAATGAGAAGGCTCCTGGAACGTTTAAAGAACACTGTTTAGAATTAATTCATCAAAGTATTCTTCTTCATAACAGTTTGGATGTATTTTCCATCTATGGGTACCTACAAATTTTAGTAATATGTTCAGGTTTGTAAAGATTCCCACAGGGGTGAAGGACCACACTTTCTTTTTCACACATTACCATTGAGTAGTTTCTTGGCAATGCATTCCCAACCCAGGACAATAACCAAGTTTTTTCATGCAATACTTACAACAATGAGCTCATAAAGAAAAAGTCTTTTTTTTTTGTTAGCATGGCAGTCTTCCTTCATCCTCTTCACAACATGTGCAACTCTCTCTGATTCTTTATCAGCATGTGCCACATTAAAGTCATCCAAAGACATATGTGAATATCCTAGCACCTCAGCCAAAGCTCTCCAGTCATAAACACTCTCTGATACTGTAGACAGAACTACTGAGTAGATGTAAGTTAGTTTTTTGAATGGCAATGCAATTTGTTCAACAAGATTCCTGGTTGTTAGCTCACTATCAGCAGTGTCCATAGCTTGTTCTTTGGAAATCACTTTTATGTTTTTGCAATGTACAAGACCAATCTTTTTTCTGAGAACTCCTACGTACCACTCTTTTATTTTAGTTTGTCCAATGGCTTTTACTTTATCTTCACCAAGAAGTGCTATTGTGTCCCCTTTAAAATATTCTAGCAAATAGTCAATCTTATTTTGACGTAATACAGTTTTCAAAGCCACTCCATAAGTATTAACACTCAAAGTTTTATCTCGAAATTTTGGATATTTAACTGTTGGTATTAAAAGCAAGGGCGCAGACTTGATTTCTTTGCGGTTTTGTAAGCACTTTGGCCTGTTGATAATGCCACTTAATTTTGGAGCTGGATCAGGAGTTGTAACATGGAACTGCGTTACTTGGCTACTTTTTAAGACTTTAATCTGAACGAGGAAAACAAAGAAATGCATATCCCTGCATCCAAGCATGGAAAACAGGAATTGTTGGCGGACCATTTCACCGGCTTTCAGCTCCTCCTCTTTAATATTTTTGCTTTGGTCTTCCATCTTCACTTCAAAATCTGGATCACAGGATATCAAAGAAATGTTTAGATCTTGTGGCTTTTCAAGCAGAAATGTATGTTTTCCCCACAGCTGAAACACAACAGGAGGCATATTTTTCCCCCCCTTTTTAATGTCACAAATTGTGAGCTTTCCTGGAATGTAGTTATGACCAAAGACTGTAAAAACTGCTGTAAAAGATGGATGAATATACTTGGGACCATAAATTCCAACTGAGACCATTCTGTGAACATAATCCCAGACATTAGTTGCTGGAGGCTGGATTCTGTTTGCTTGTACAGCAATCACTGCATACATCACGTGACTTAGGTCCATTAGCTTTACTTGTATGGTATCTTGATAAGTGTAGCAATTTTCTAGCTTCTTAAAAGGCCCTTCTTTATTGAAACTATAGAAACACACAATGTCACTCATAACTTGGCTGAGTGGATCATTCTTCACTTTAGCTGCAACTTTCACCTCTAGGAAAATGGCTTCCCTCGTGTTGAGGTTGCTCAGTGTAAGTTCTATCAGAGGACTTATGGTGCTAGACAGATCATTGTTAAACGAAGGTGGAGGGTTAAGGATAGCCTTTAAACCAACTTCTTGGAATTCCCCTGGTAATACATGACCTACAGGGACATGAATGTTGATATCTGAGTCAGGTAGCTGTAGTGAACCCCCTTCATGATTCAGTTTGCAAACTACATGAATGTCTGTAGCTTGTGTTTGTGCCCATCCAGGACTATGGCTCATAGCTTCTAAATCTAGACAAGATCGGGTAAGTTGCCGGTGACTTAACCAAGCCATCTTGTAGGCTTCACGGTCATTCTGAAGCCATGTCATGTCTGAAGCTATAGTTTTTTGAGGTGTTGCCTTGCGAGGATGTAATCTCCAGTTATCAACAATGTCCAGGAAGTCAGAGACACTCTTGGATCGTCCAGATCTTCTTGCTGAAGTCTTTCTTAGAAGACAATCAATATCTAGCTCATCACCTGAGGAAGCCAAAGAATCCCTGTTGCTAGAAACTTTAGAGAACAAATGGGGTTTTTCTTTTAAGATTGAAAGGTACCTATTATTTTCATTTCTATTTGAAGCAGCTATGTCATGTACGAAAGGGTTGGAGGCTGACAGTTCATTCCAGAAAGGGTTAGTCTTGGAAACAGGAAGGGCATGTTTGAATACATCAGACCAGTCAATATCCATATCCAGTTTACTTTCCTTGACATCTGTTTAAAAGAAAAAACAGAAATATTTCCTAAAACACAGAGACTTCAGACATTCTATTCATTTTCAATTCAGTCTGTTAAGATAACAGGTGACAAAATTTATCCTCTTAAAATACATATAGATCATTTATATATTTCTTCTTCAGGTTTTTAAAGAGTATCAATGTTGATTTCTAAGTAGCATTAAGAATCTTTGTTAATAGACAGAGTGCTAACAAATTAGTACTGAAGGATGTAAAGCATCTTCTGAAAGGTGATGATTGTTATGAACTCCTGCAACTGTTAATTGTCATTGAGTATGCTAAAATCCCATAAGGTTTAAACACTGATATTCCAGTAATCTTTTGCCTCTTACAAAATGCCATGGATTTCTTTCCTTTGCACCTAACACTCTGCAAAGATTAAACAACTACTGTTTAATTTTTCAAACACTCTAGACAGTACAGATATATGTATTATTCAGGATTCCTTTTCATGGTACTGCACGTGCATTTAATTGATAACAGCACTCTTCAGATTTATCTCAGTGCGTGTGGAAATTGTTATACTACCTTTCCATTAAAAAAAATCACTGGTATAATTTATAAGGTTTTGTACAGTTTGAAATTTGGATAGAAATGTTTCTGTGGCTACTGATTTTCTGAGATTGCACTTAAATAGACAGATAGGGGTGTATAAGTGATATTTAAATATGCTTTTTAATAGAACCACTCATTATTGACAGCAATGTCTATTTGTTCTGAAGACAAGGTGTCCTTATAACTGTTCACAGAAGCTGTTTTATAGGTTAAGACACATTTCTTGCAATGAATAGAGTATCTGCAACTTATTGTGTTAAGGGTTTCTGTTATTTCAGTTTGCCATTATTTTTCTATGTACAAAGGTTATACCATACCTTCATTGTACATCCTTGTAAAGAATTTTAATTTTAGAGGGAAAATTCAGCATTTCCATTATTTCAGCATACCTATATCCTTCATTATTATACTTTCCATAGTACCTTCCATCTCCAAGGTTACTAATTATTGGTCAATTGCAAGAATGACAGTGCATTCACACACAAAAAAAAAAAAAAAAAAAAAAAAAAAGTGTATTCTTAGTTCTTTTCTTTTTGTTTCTTTTGTCATGAAGTGTGACAAAAAGCCAAAACTGAAAAGTTTTTCCACAGTTCCAGGAAAATCCCAGTTTGGAAGAAACAGAGTAGAATCTACCTGCTTCCCAGCTGCCCATCTGCAAGGCTCTAGCATTGCCTTGACAAGAGCTTTCCAGGTGAGCTGCTGGGGGGAGCGAGCCCAGAGGCAGCCTCCTCACCCTTGGGCACCCAGCCTTGGCTAGGGCCACCAGCTGAAAAGACCTTTTGTTTCTGCCCGAAGGCCAAAAGCTTTCCTTGTGCTGTGACGCTATGACAGTCAGATCATTATTATCTATTAAAAAAAAAATTAATCCCAAAATAAACTTTTGGGGGGTGCTTGTTTTTTTCCCCATCCTAAAGGGCATGTTTCTACAGGAAGAGTCTGAGCAGAAAGCTCTGGTAGAGCCTGACTCATTAGGCTGGACACTTTCTCATGCCAAGTTAATAGCACAGACTACTGGGGTGCAGGAGGTCAGCAAGGAAATAATTCCTATTCCCCAACTCACATGGTAAGTGCCAGGCTTGTCAGTACTCACATCTGCTACTGGACAGAAAGCTAAGAGAATGCCTACCTTGTGGAGGGGAATGTTTTCTTAACTTTTGGGTTAAAATAGCAATGAGATTAAATCAACTTTGCTGAGCCTCCAGTTTTTAAACTGAGCTAACTCCAAAATTACCTTGCCTTCTTGGTTCTTAAAATTCTAAATTAATGTAGTTTGGCAAAGAACTCCCTCTTCTCTTCCCCATCTCAAAACCCAGTAAACATTCCCTAAGTAGCATTTATTCATGTAAGGTTAATGATTCCGGCTCTTCCTTCCAACCTGCCTGAACCACTTTTGTTATGGCAAGGGACAGAAGACTTCTCTTATATGCCAGCAAGTTTATCCTAGGGGACCCTCTGACAACTTCATGTGTTCTGACTCCAGGGACATCTATGATGGCCTGAGTAGTGCAAAACACAAGCGATAATAAAGTAAATAAAAATAAAGAAGAGGTTTACAGAGCAGCTATAGCTCTTGACACTATTGAGAGTTTTGCAGAAATTAAGACTTTAGGTGGAGAGCCTTAGTATAGAAAATAGCAGAAGAGACATACTGTAGCTGGCTGAAGGTGTTCGGTCATCCACATCAATCAAAGTACCCTCTGACCTGCTCCGTGGAATCTCTCCACTGGTTAGGGAATCTGTTCCACTACTGGAAGTGTTTTCTTCCTAGGAAACAGTTAAACATATAAAACATCAGCAAGCATGCAAATTGAAAAAGGGAAAACTGTTGAAGAATAACTGAGCTTTGTTCCTGTGATGTGACACAAATGAAAAAAAAAAAGTGAAGTTATGGTTTATTAGTTAATTTATGGTATCTGCCAAAGAGCATCACAATCCTGAGTGAATATTACTATCTAATTTGCAACAAAAACCCCAGTTGCAGTACAGTATGGTACCACAGACCATAGTGAATTCCAGTAACTCACATAATTAAATGTCTTGAAATTGGAACTGAGACAATTGTACAATAACTTCCATTAAGAAGGTCTTGAATAAAAGGGTTTTTTATTAAAATAAACATCCTAATTCCTCTTTTCAGAAGTTTGACTAGAATCGTTAAAGGGGAAGAGCTAGATCTGTTCCTTCCTTTGCCAATTAATATAAAGTATTTCCATCCTTTTCTGCTTTATTATTCTTCCTATGATCTTCCCTGAGAGAACATCAGGTCAGATTTCCTTTTAGTCTGAACAAGAATGACTTAAAGTACCCTTCCTTAGGGCCCACAACAGCACAGCAACAGCCCAAGAGAGGACATCCAGGTCTCTCCTTTTCCTTTTTCTGGCCACAAGAAATTCTGTTTGGTTTTGACGCTGTTTGCATGTGGACTGGGCCACGTGAGAGCTGTAAACCAGATGCTGTGGTTGAGAGACAGTCAACAGCAAACTTATTGCAAGGGCAGAGCAGGAGGGGCAAGGTACCATTGCACAATGGCATTTTCAGCTTCTCAGAAAGAGGAGTTGCAGGTCCTCAAAGGAGCATTGGGTAGCCTACATGCTGAAGTTACTGTGTCACTGAAACAGAAGCTGGAAGAAATAAAATATTCTAGATATTTTTGTGCAGGGGAGCTCATTAAATTAGTGCTATAAACCAAGAGATCATTTAGTGACTTTCCCATAACCTTCTCACTGATCCTACACATAGTGGGGTATAAATGCTGATGGGCAATAGATACATGAAGACATATGATTAAAAAGAAAAAAAAGAAAAAACAAACCAAACCAAATGAACCAAACATGCACCAAAAAAAAAATACAAACAAACAAACAAACAAAAAAAAAAAAACAACCAACCAAACAAAAAAACAAACCAAACCAAAACAAAAACAACAAACCAAAACACAAGGAGGGAAGGAGAGGGTGAAGGAGAAAATGTAAAAAAGCCAGAAATTTTTTTGGGTCCATCCACAGGATACAAGTCAGCTTTCTTCAGGAATCTGCAATATTGCAGCCTGGTACGTTTGCAGCAGCAATTGCAGCCTAAGCAGATCTCATTTTTTCATGTTTAAAATGGAAAAAAAAGGCATTGGGCCTGGTTTTTCTGTGGCTGTAAGAAAAATGAATTTTCAGTTACAGTTCAAGTAGGTGAGTTATGGGAAAAAGGAAGCATACCTTATATCAAAGCATTACTAAATAGAAACTGGAAGTTGGCTGTTTCTATTGCGCAATACAATGGTTTAAGACATCTTTTTTTTCCACTACAAATGTAAATTGGTACTTTGTGTTCTTCCCACAAGAGCTACCTTCAGCTAATGGCAATCTGCTCAGCTGCAGATTTGCACTCAGGCAGGATGCAAGGCTGAGGTCAGACTAAGCCTGACAGTCACCCAGCTGTGCTGCTGTCACAGGACTGGACAGACTTTCATGTTCCTCTGTTACCAGAAATCTCAGGTGTCAGCCTTAGAAGTCCTGATTTCAGATGGTAGTGAAAGCTAGCCTCCAAAACCAATACTTTGTGGCTTCTATTAATGCCCCTCCAGAATCAAGCTGGAAAGTAAAATATATCTTTAATCCCAAAACTGTAGTTCCAAGATCTGACATCCCACATGTGTGTAAAAATATCACTGTTCCTTCCATCTCTAATAACAGACGGTATCTTTGATAATGTATACTGATTGCTTCAAAGGAAACAAGTTTTCTTTCCTACTGCATCTCAAAATGTTGAAAAACTGAACACGCTGTGTAAATATACACAGTTTTTATCTTGGGCTTATAATTGAGAGATTGGGGAGTTTTAATCACCAGTTTAAGGTATCCATATCTAAAATTCCAATAAGTATACAAAAAGAAAGTCTACTTTTTACAATACCTGTGTTATTTGTTGACAGCACTAATCTCTGATGATTTACTGATCGGTTAACATATTAATCTGAGAATGGTTCTTTAAATAGTTAAAAACCCCACAATTATTTCAACAGCTGTATAAAGTGGGAGACAGTAAGTAAGGATGAGGAGAGAGCACAAGAGTGCAAGTTGGTGCACAGGGGCTAAAATAGGAAACCCTGGGGGAAGGGAGAAGGAGAGAGAAAGAGAAAGAAAAACAATTCCTTTACACAGTGGGACTATATTGACAGAGACATGACAACAAAATTGCATATAGAAGTTTTATAAATGCTAAGAATTTCTGCAAATAGAATAAGCCATTTCCTAAAGCTCCCTCTGGGAACTCCTTAAAAACCTTCACCACCAGCCTGGCACAAAGACAGAAAAGGCTGATACTGAAAAGGAAAACAACTTTCAAAAATAAGTAGTGTCCCCCCATGCCCCGAAAGCATTCCTTGGTACGAGAGCATGATGAGGGAGCCCTTGTGATTGAGGCACGTCTTCAGGCCAGCCAAGAAGAGGACAAGAAAAGGGGGGAGATATAAACACTCCTGGGCAAAAAGATGACCACGTTTGGTCATCATGTCAAGGGATGTGGGAAATACTGGGGACAAGCTGTACATACACCATCAGGTACTGGGCAATGTGCCTCCTGAACAGAGTTACATGATCTGACACCAGGGTTTGGTCCTGTCTCTCCTGTGTTCCAGTCTTAGTGCTGGGGACACATAAATCCCCAGTGCCTTTGTATGATACTAGGAAAATAAGAAAACCCAATGCTCCCCCTTTTCCATGGGTACCTTCTGTGATAAAATAGAATCTCAAATAAAGCTTTTGATAGGACAACCCTATTAATTCGGAACTAACCTGGACAAATCCAGAAGAACGATCATCCACAAGAGAAGAGAGGTCAATGCATGTGGGATATAAAGACACGTTGATCAGTGGCAAAGGGTAAAGATATGAAACTCTTTTGCTGCAAAAAGAGGAAATTATGTATAGGAAAAATCAGAAGCTAAGCTTTTCATTTGCTGTAGCTACTGAGTAAGAAAGATATAAACTGACATGTGCTTAATGGTGCAAAGAATTATTTGACTGATGGTATGTCAGCTCACAGTGTGAGGTGAGTAGTGAATGAAGAAGTTAAGAGTTTGGAAGGAGATCAGCTATGGAGGTGACCAGTGGGTGAACATGAGTGACTGCTGAGAGATGTGGCACTTTTCTGTATGAAGGCAAGAAACAGTTTGCCAGGTGCACTCTGATGTTCAAGGCTGGAATGCATTGTTTGTCCCATAAAGCAGGGGACTCAGGACCCAGAGTGCTGCTGGCAGGCGCATTGCAGCACTGTTACAAAGGGAAAAAAAATGCATTAGAAGAAGGTCTCAGGTAGAAAGTTCAGTTTCACAGAAGTCAGGAGACAGATCTGCTGCAAATGGCATTTTTGCTGCATGCAATACCTCCAGAAACCTCTTCCAGGTCTTTTAAGATTCAAGTACACTTCTTTTTTTTTTTCTTTCTTTCCAGTCTCTCTACCAAAGAAAACATGTCCTGCTGTGCTTAAAATAGTGGTAAGGAAGAAAATAAAAAAAGCCCAAAAGCAAACACTTCCCCACTGCCTTTGCCCTCAAAAATGAGAGAGAATACATTCCTTTGTGTTTTTAAAGTATCAACATCCCAGAGCAAAGCACTAGCAATTTGCCTTTCATTCAACCTTTACCCTGTTCATCTTTCTTCAAAAGCAGATTGTGTTAAGAGCAGAGCTCTCCTGTGACAGTGTCTCCCCACAGACTCCTACATGCTCCTTACGCAGATAGTGCTACTCAGCCATACCATTAGTCACAGTGATTCATGGCCTTTGAGTCCAGAGGATGAAACTTAGTCATTTGCAAAGACAGGACAAGCAGCACAAGCAGGTGATGGAGATGCACCTCATTCCTCAGGCTCACTTTCAGCTGTCAAGGGGAAAAATTATTTGCTAGTTATATAGGTTGGGTTGTTAGACTTACTTTACAAGTTTTTTACTGAAAAAGGAGTGAGGTATATTCATCAGAATGTTAAATACAGTGTTCCTGATCTGACCAAATACTGAGTATACGGAATTATTTAAATTCTATTAAATAGAGAGAAGAAAAGAAATTCTAAAGAGAAAGCAATACACAGAAGAGAGATGGTTTCAGAAGGCATTACACATCACCATCAAATCTAAAACACTGCCTGTTCTCAGCAGATTAACATGTTTCAAGATAAACAGTTACGGTAATAAGTCATATTTTAACAGCCCCTTGGTACTTGCGGCCTGGAACAGCTTTATGGAGCTCAGAGTTTGGTGAGAGACAGTTGGACCTGAGTTTACCAATCTTTGATTACAGGGCTGAACAGTGGTACTGTAGCTAATGGTAGTACAACTGAAAGCTTCAGTTGAAGTCTTTGACTTATTTTCTTAGTATGGTGCATGTGAGGCAGTCAAGAAAATGCAGCTGTATCTCATTTTCAACAAAGACAGAAATGGCTTTTAATGTTTAGCCTCATGAGATATCGACCTTATATTACCTACTTTACTAATACTTGGAAGCAATCTTACTGCTTTAGTATGACGCTGTTACTTGTCACTTTGCCTATAACAATAAAAGAGCTTTTTCAATTTATATATCTACTAGCTTACGCTGTTGTTAAATAGTTGCCAAGTTTTTCAAAGTTCTGAAGATTTATCACCCCATGGGAACTGCAGAGCCATTCACGCTCCTTCCTGAACCCAGGCTTTAAGCTTTCTGCAGACCCAACGTATGTCTACACTGCTGCTTGTAACTGATGTGACTGCTGCTCGTAATGTTTCATCTGAGCTAGCGC